CTCTTTCCCTCTAATTCCTATAAAAGGAATAAGAAATATTTACATTATGTGCTATATTGGTAAAATGTCAATCTGGCTTTCATTAACTTTCTAATCATCATTTTTCTGAAACTGAATAAAGAAATCAAATTTGTGATCAAAAACTTAAAACACCACCCTTACCAATGACCTGGCGGTCACAGAAGCCCCACTCCTGCCACAAACTATATTCAAAACAGCTTCATTTGAATTTCTGATACCTGAAAAAAGGTTTTTGGTCCTCAGAGCATGTAGGATCACTACTACCACACTTTGAAAACCCCTCAATTTTAAGATTTACTACCATGGCGTATATCTCTAGCCTCGCTGTGTTGGTGATGATAGTGAGGACTCAAGGATTCCTGTCTAAAAACCTATTCTGTTTTTGCAGTGGATAGCCTGCTGAAATACACTGGCTATGGGAATGCTGCAGGACTGTTGGCGGCCAGGGGCCTCTTGGCTGGAGGAAGAGGAGATAATTGGTACTCAGAGGACGAGGACACAGACACTGAAGAATACAAAAATGCAAAACCAAAGTATAGTATCATGTTTCTTTTCACCTAACTATGTCTGCCTTTGAATTGATTATTTGCCTTTCATTTCCTTTGGCTTTCATTTTCCAAGTATTTCTCTTCTTTTGTGGATTTGGAAGCTTTCTGTTTAATAGTTTTAGAGGCAGTTTCATAGCTAGTGCCTTAGAGGGTGACTTCAAGTGATTGAGGAAGGATAATATTGCAAGAAATGTTCTGCTGCATGTGCTCATTACTCTCTCCTAAGTATTAAGAGAGGTAGTGTTTTTAGATGTCTACCGTCATATATTTAAAGGATATTGTTGCTTATTTTGTGCTCTCCTTTCCATAAGTTGAGATTTTATAAGGTATAACCAAGACCAAGTATTTAAGTTGGTTATTTGATACATCAGTCTTTCTCAGAAATCTAAATGTATGTTCCGTACATTCTGATATTTCCTCTTGTGTAAAAGCCCTTATGAGTCAATAAAGTAAAGCAACAGGGCACATTACTAGCAAAAGGAAAGAAAACTGGCTCTATGGTAAATTTTAATCAAACACTTATGGAATCATCTTTTAACAGAGGCATTAGTACACTGGATAGGCAAACCAGAAACTCTATCCTGAGTCAGTGCTTACAAGTCAAAGACCCTAATCATCTCTTAGCCCGAAACAAACCACCTCTACTTTTCTACTCCCCATCCTTTTCATCCCCCTCTCAACTCCAATCCCAGGTAAATTTCTTAGTTTCCACTTATTAGGAGTTATTTGAGCTCAGTTTTCTGGTTTTCATTACTGAATGTTAAAAGGGTATGCCCTTCCCTATTAATGATGATATTGACATATGCTATGTTTTCTATCCACAGTCATCTAGAGTGTGATGTGGATAATGTAGTAGTTGATCAGGGATAGAAAAATCATTATCTGCAAAATTCGGCCCTTTTTTTTAAAGTATAGATTGTGCTTTGTTGAAATGAAAATAATAGGTTGTCAGAAGGTAAAAGAAAAGATCATTCCCTAATCAGACAGGACTTATATGGCCTGTATTCTTGGCAAATCAGGTCTCAGTAGCTGGTGTTACTTGTGGCATCCCCAGGGCTATCAGCCTCAACAGGATCTAGGAGTGTGTCCTAGAAGAAAAAGACTTTGGGGGAAAGAAAGCTAACAGTGGCTCTAAGCAGTAAGTTCTCAAGAGTGCCACCATGTAGATGTTATAAGTTGGGCACCTCTATCAGGAATTTGAAGCTAAGATAGAAAAATAATACATTAATCTTTCCATAATTATAGAAGTCATCATTCTAAATTATTCTTGCTAGCTCTTGATTTTTCCATCCCATAAACTATATTTCCATATCAGTTTAATATTTTCTGCCTCTCCATTTGAGACATTAAAATATAGCATTTAAGGAGTCTCATATTTTTAAGTGACGGTAGAAATTACATTAGGCATTCATTGTGTCCCAGGGTATGTGGACACAGTCAACTAACATAGAAAACTCTTGAGTACTCATGAGTGGTTGATATCATTGCATCTCATTGTGTGTTGTTGATTTTATTTGGTAGATGACTTCTAAAATGGTATTGGTCATATATCTGGCAAACACAAGAATGCTACTATAATAAGAAAAACCTCAGAAAAAATACAAGAACACACTGGGTCTCTCCCAATAGTACGGGAAATAGAAATGCATTACATTATGGAAGTGATACTAGATTTCAGGAAAGCACTGTTTGTTTAAATCAAGGACCATGAATGATGTTTGATATTATTATTGTTTTGGCTCTCTGTTAGAAAGATTCTGTACTTAGGCTTATTACATCCCTCGTTGGAATCTTCTTCAGCCTTTGGACTTGGCCTATATCATTAATAGGAATGGTGTGTTAGTGTGGCCGGAATAGCCACCATTGTGAGATCTTGTTGTATTTCTTAAACATTGCTCATTGTAAGTATAAATATGTTTTTCTCACATAGCATCACATCTTCCCTCTTCAGATAGATTTGCATCTGCTTTTTTCTTACATCTTCCCTCTTTCAGGTGCAACAGTGTAGTGGGATGTTTCATTTGTTAATTTAAAATGCTTATTAAAATGGTCCCCATGGAAGGGGTGGTGAAAAAGTACTTTGCAAGCAAGACAATCCTTTGTGTTCTGGGCAGTGATCCACAAGCTCAAGGAAAGGAAACTTCTTACCAATCTAGTCAAGTTTATAAAGTCAGCATTTGAAAGGATGACTTAGTCCCTACCCCCCGATTACTCTTCACCAGTCAGTGTTCTCAGGATCACAGTCTGCTTCTCTTATGATGCACTTATTCACAAACAGTGCTAGCATTGGCAAAAGCAGAGAAATTACCCTTCATCCAGTTGACCCTCATCCCATTGTCAAAAATGTAAGTGGATTCCGATTAATGCACCAAGGTAACCTATAATCCTTTAGTGGAATCTGAAACTAAGAATTGTATGGAGCTTACATTCAGCCTATGAGAGACAGTTAATATCACAACAGTCCTTTTTGTGTCAAAATAAATGTATTTAACGGACTGGAAATGGCTTTCTGCAATGAACACACTTAGACAAAATACACTCATAGAATCAAGTACATGCCACACAGGTTTTTGGTGTATGTCTAGCCATGTTTGTAAAAACTTTTCAGATAAGCTTTGGTCCTGTATCAAAAAGAAACCAAATTTCTAAATTCTGGCTTTATACCCATTTCTTTTATGCCTCTGAGCATGGAGGCCCCTTGACTGAATAGGTGGTATAACATAACTGATTACTGTGGTTTGTACATCATTCCAAACATCAGTTGAAAAATGTGTACGTAATGACATTTGGCTCATTTTAGACCAGTTGCTTTCAGGCTAGGTGTGGTATATAGGAGCCTATGGGTCCAAAAAGGTGTATTTAATGGGCCACTGTATGGAGGGGTGGAAGGACGGAATGGCCAAAGTGGGCAGAACTCTAGGATGTCCCATTGTATTCTTAATACCCCACACTAGTTCATAATCACACCCAGCAGATTAAAATTATTCTACTAAGCAACTCAGGGGTGTTTCCTTCTTGACCATATATCTCTCAGCAGTAGCTGTGGCAGCAGCTGTACAGTTTCTTCAGCACAAAAGACTTTATTTTATTTTGTCAAAATTTTGTTATGCTGCTTTAAGTCAAGTCCCATTATAACTGTGTCCATATGTTGGGGCTATACAAATGAAGAGATAGCTTTAATATTTTTTGAAGTAGATGAACCAGAAACAGGACTTGAAGATTTTTCTTTTTGCCTAGACTGTGATGGTATACTTATGTATAATAGGATGTAACTAGCCTTTCTAGGAACTGAAATTTATTTACTGTAAGCAATCATGAAACAAAATCTAAATTCAGATCTCTAAAGACCGGAATCAAAAATAAAATTTTGCCACTTCTGCCATGTATACTGGTTAACCAACCTTTGTGATGTTTGCAATCACACCAGTTTTGCACTTTCAAAATTGAGTTCTCTAATTTTTCTTTTGTATTTTAATTTGGGTAAATGGCCAGCAAAAGGTGTGTTACCTGAACCTACAAAATTGAGCTTTGCTTCAGGTTTCATTTCATACAGATTTACAACCATAGTTTTCTATATCCTTTATATCAAGGATATCACTCTTAATCCAACAGCCCAAGGTAGGAAACATTATAAAGCACTATAATTTAAAAAGGTATTTTGGAGCTTTTTTAATTGCCTAGGTGCAACTTGGTGTATCTATATGTATTCAGTATGTCTATTTATATGGATGATACATGATACTTAATAGTTGATAAATAAGTGAAAGAATTACACCACATTACCTTGTTTCTTTACATTGCTAATAGAATGCAAAAACGTGGATTAAGATGTTGTTTCATAATTTACCCTACTCTTTTAATGTGGAATCAGTTTTATATTTATACGGTAATTCTCAAATTACTTGAGACATTTTCACCTCAGTCACCATTATTAACTGGTGTCTCTTCAGAATACCTTGTATCTGAATTTAACCATAGCAAACTCCACGAAACACCTAGTGTTGCGTGGCTTCTTTAGCACATGCCATAGTGACGATTTAACTTAACAGACTAACTCACTGGATCCAAGGCCTTCTGGCTGGCTTACTTACCAAGTAGCTCACTTATGCTAATAATAGCTGGTATTTATTATCTAATATGTGTCAGGTACTGTTCTAAGAACTTTCCTGATATTATCTCATTTAATCTTTACAGCAAACCTTTGGGCTAGGGTTATCTCCATCTTACAGATGAGGAAACTAAAGCTCAGTGGTTTCCAGAACTTGTCTAGGGCACACAGTTCATGAGTGGTCAGGTGGCCTAACTCCAGAGCTGGTGTTTTTTGAGATTTTTGTTGTTGTTTTTGAGGTAGACATAGCAGGTTTTACTGTGCTTTTCACTTTGCCTTCTTATTTTGGGGGTAAAATATACATAAAATTTACCATTTTAAGCATACATATCTGTGGCATTATATACATTAATGTGCAACCATCACCACCATCCATCTCCAGAACTTTTCATCTTCCCTAACTGAAACTCTGTATCCATTCCCTCTCCCCACAACCCCTGGTAACTACCATTCTACTTTATTTCTCTATGAATGTGACTAGGAACCTCATATAAGTGGAATCTAAGAACCTCATATAAGAGAAATCATATACTTGTCCTTCTATGACTGAGTTCACTTGGAATGTCTTTAAGACTCATCCATATTGTAGCATGTGTCAAAATTTCCTTCCTTTTTCAGGCTGAATAACATTCTATTTAACGTATTTACCACATTTTGTTTATCCATTCATCCATCAGTGGACCACCTTTTGGCTGTTGTGAATAATGCTGCTATGAACACAAGTGTACAAACATCTGTCCCTGCTTCAAGAGTCCCTGCTTTAACTTCTTTTGGGTATATAGCCAGAAGTGGAATTGCTGGATCGTATGGTAGTTCTATGTTTAATTTTTTGAGGAACTGCCATACCATTTTACATTCCCACCAGCAATGCACAAGG